TGTACATAGGTACGGGGGCTTGAACTCAGAGCTTGGGTATGTCCCTTAGCTTTTCCCTCCAAGGCCGATGCTCTACCATTTGAGCCACAGCTCTACTTCTGGCTTTTCAATGGCTCCTTGGAGATAGAGCTTCACAGACTTTCCTTTCCAGGTTGGCTTCAAGCCGTGATCCTCAGATCTCAGTCCCCTGAATAGCTAGTATTACAGGCATAAGTCATAGGTGCCAGGCTATGATCCCTCCACCCCTCCTTTTTCTTTTGAAGAAAGGTGCATGCTTTGAGGGAGTAGTGGAATAGAGGGATGAGAGTGTAGCTGGGTGGTAGAATGCTTGCCTAGCATATAGGAAACAAAATAAAACACAAAAACAACATGGAGAGAGACAGATAGACAGAGACAGACACAGAGACAGAAAGGAGGGAGGGGAAGGCAGAGAGAGTGAGTGAGCAAGCGCGTGATAGAGCATCACTGTTCCTGGTATGTTTTTGAAGCCATGTTCCCGTTCTGAAGCGGGTTGCTCTCCATGCTATGGAGCCATGCGATCACATTCTCCTCCCTAGTCATTACAAGCTTGGATCCAACTTTATTTGCTGTTGTTGCTTAGACTTTCTGCTCACATTGGCTAGTCTATTTGATTTTCAATTTTTTGTTGATGTTAACTTTTTTTTTCTTTTGGACTCAATCTTCTACTTCCTAAGGGGGATATTAGCGTGGTCATGTTTATCATGATAGCTGAAATGTGATCTGCTCTTGCTTTGTTATTGCTTCTTTTCTTGGAGGTGTTTGTGTGTATGTGTGTATGGGAGAGAGAGAGAGAAAGAGAGAGAGAGGGAGAGGGAGAGGGAAAGAGAGAGAGAGAGAGAGAGAGAATATGTTGTTCTGGGCCTTGAACTCAGGACTTCATGCTCTCCCCTTAGCTTTTTCCAACCCTCTACCACTTGTGCCACAGCTTTACTTCTGGCCTTTTCTTTTTCTTTAGTAGCTTTCACTGGAGATAAGAGTTAAGAGTCTCACAGACTTTCCTGCCCAGGCTGGCTTTGAACCACAATCCTCAGATCTCAGCCTCCTGAGTTGCTAGGATTACTAGGGCCCAACTTACTGCTCATTTTCTACTTTTCCTTCTTGTTTTTTTTCCTTTCTCCCTATTTGTTTTTCTCCATTGTATTGAGTTGATCATATTTAATTTGTTACAATTTTCTTTTCTTGTCTTACATTTTGGAAATTAGATGTTCCAGTTCTATTTGGTTCCATTTCTATTCAAAACCAAGACACACACACACACACACACACCACACACACACACACACACACACACACACACACCTGAGGCTGCTGGATAAGGCCTAGGCGGCAGGGGAGTTTTTATGATTTGAGGAAACGTTTCGAACCTTTGAACAGGAGCTGGAACCACCCAGCAGGGGAAATCTGGACTCCTTCGTTTATGAGCCTTCAGGGCCAGCTCAGGGAGAGGCAGAGGGAGGAAGGCAGCTTTAGGTTCAGTTGTCAAAAACCTCTGCCTCTCTGTACTCTGTGCACAGCTGACCCTCCTACCCCCTACAAGGGGACAGAGATAAATGCTTAGCATGACTTCAGAGCTCTGGGCCACATCACAGGTGGCTGGACAGAAGTTCCCTTCCTGACATCTGACAGGAGGTGCTGGCATGCTGGCACTGGGAATGGTGAACAGGGTATATTCTTCCAGGAACCAGAGATTTAGAATTTGTTAATTACATGTCGTTAAGGCAATGAAATAGAAAATGTGTGAGTTATTGTGCCAGCACTTTTAGGATCATATTGTAGAAGAGAAGTGATCAAACAAAACCCAGAGCTGCCTTGAAATTGGGAACCTGGCAATGCAGGCCTATGAGAGAGCCAGGTTTTGTTGGGAGTGGGGGAATGATTAAATCCCATGTGGCTTTGCGAGTGTTATTTGTGTCCAAAGAAGGCACAAGAAAGGGTCCTAGACAGCTGCTGGCACACGCTGGGAGAGGCTGGCTCTTTTTATTTTATTTTTTTGTCAGTTGTGGGGCTTGAGCTCTATGTTTGGGCGCTATCCCTCAGCTCTTCAGCTCAAGGCTAGGGCTCTACTGCTTGAGCTACAGCGTCACTTCCAGTTTTCTAGTGGTTAATTGGAGATAAGAGTCTCACGGACTTTCCTTCTCTGGGCTAGCTCTAAACCATGATCCTCAGATCTCAGCCGCCTCAGTAGCTAGGATGACGGGCGTGAGCCACCGGCACCTGGCTAGGCTGACTCCTTTTACAGCTCTACCTTCTGCTCTGGAGAGCCCTGAGCTGGCCTACGTACTAAGTCCCAGGGCTGCTTTAGCATCAACACTCGGCATTCCCCAGCATCGCAATTCTGGACTCCCAGAAGGCAATGCTACAGGCTGGACCCGGGCGGTGACTGTCCACAGGAAACACAGGCTCAGTGCTATTTTGTCATTTTGATATCAGTACTGGGGCTTGATCTCACTTGGCTTTTTCTCTCAGGCCTGGCACTCTACCACTTGAACCACAACTCTACTTCTGGGTCTTTTTTTTTTTTTGGGGTCCGGTCGTGGGGCCTGAACTCTGGGCCTGGGCGCTGTCCCTCAGCTCTTCAGCTCAAGACTAGCGCTCTACCACTTGAGCCACAGCGCCACTTCCGGCTTTTTTTCTTTTTTGCTTATGTGGTGCTGAGGAATTGAACCCAGGGCCTCATGCATGCAAGGCAAGCGCTCTACCACTGAGCCACCTTCCCAGCCTGTACTTCTGGGTCTTTACTGGTTAAGTGGAGATAAGAGTCTCATGAACTCTTTTGTACTGCCTAGCACTAAACCATGATCCTCAGATCTCAGCCTCCTGAGTAGCTAAGATGACAGGCATGAGCCACTAACACCCAGCTACAACATGTTTTGAAAGGCTGGACATCCTAGAAATTTTGATCAAGGTCATCAGAGTTCCTGGTCACTAATAAGAAAGTCAAGACACAGTTGCATGGCTCAGGAGGCTGGAAGAACAGCACTGAGGAGCCAAACGCCTGGTGCTTGGCTTGGGAATCAGGCTCAAGGGCATAGCAGGGTGGGAGAAAGAGGAAGGCAGGGTAGAGGGTACATGAGCTAGGGTCTTACAATCCACCATGCTAAAATGTTCCCTCAGTTATGCATTTGTTATATTATTTAATTCCTGGTGTATCCATGTGATACACTTAATATCACCTCATTTTACAAATAAAACCTAAAGTTAGAAAACAACCCCCCCCCACTCCCATCCCAAGCCATATAGCTAACATGCTAGATCTAACTCAGATCTGATTCCAGGGTCCCTGTCGATTCTACTTCACTTCTCTGTGGGCTATTTTCCTTCTTTATATCTTTATAAACCAAAGAGACTGGATAAGATCAGGCTCTCTTAATCTTGCTCAGAGTCACCTTCACCTTGTTTCCAGTTTCAGTTTAGTTACACCTTTAGGATATACACATCTTACTCCTTATTCACGGGTGTTGTTACTTATGTGACGTTTTCCCTAATGGAGCTTCATTTCTTATTAATTAATTATATATGTTGATTTCTGTAAAGTAAATGTAAAGTTTACTAGACTGGCTCTTTCCATGTATAGTTTAGTTCAGTGGCTGTAAGCTCATCTGCATTGCTCTGCAACACTTCGTGTTTGTAATGCAGAGGTAGTTTAGAAAGGCAGGCCTGCTGGTGGCTCAGGCCTGTAATCCTAGCTACTCAGGAGGCTGAGATTCTGAGGACTGGAATTCAAAACCAGCTCTGGCAGAAAAGTCCATGAAGACCCTGATTTACAGTAAGTCACCCACCCCCCAAAACCAAAAAGCCAAAGTGGAACTGTGGCTCAAGTGGTAGAGTGGCACAAAAAAGAAGAAAAAAAAAAGAATGAAACAAGCCTGTAATCCTAGCTACTCAGGAGGCTGAGGATCAGAGCCTAAAGCCAATCTGGACAGACAAATCTGAGAGACCCCTATTTCCAATTAAACAGCAGCAAAAAACCAAAAGTAGAGGTGTGGCTCAAGTAGTAGAACACCAGCTGCTCAGAGCTCAAGGATCTGAGTTCAAGCTCCAGTCCAGTACAAAAAATGTTTTTTAAAGAATGCAACCTGGGAAGTGGTGCTGTGGCTCAAGTGGTAGAGGGCTTGCCTTAAGCTGAAGAGCTCAAAAAAAAGAAAAAGAAAAAGAAAAAAAAAGCCGAACCTTGGTGGCTCACGCCTGTAATCGTAGCTACTCAGGAGTCTGAGAATGGTGGTTCAAAGCCAGCCTGGGCAAGAAAGTCTGTGAGATTCTTATCTCTAATAAACCACTCAGAAAAACAGAAGTTGTACTGTGGCTCAAGTGGTAGAGTGCTTGCCTTGAGCTGAAGAGCTGAGGGATGGTGCCCAGGTCCAGAGTTCAAGCCTCATGACGGCAGAGGTGGGGGTGGGGTGGGGAGGAGAATACAACCTGGTTCTGAGGAGCCTGAAGACTGAAGAGAAGGTGTGTCCTTTCCCTATCCTGGGCTAGTTTACCCTGCAGCTCCTGTGTTATGACCATGGGATACAGAGGCATCCAGGGGACAAGGACATTCAAGTCTTACCTGGGGCTTAGCCTCATCTTTGTCCTTGTAGTAGAAGAGGTGATCCCCACGCAACACAAACCAGCGCTGCTGCCAGTTCTTCATGATGCTTCTCTGCTTCCGCAGCCAGCCTGCCTTCAGCACAGGGCTGGGCTGCAATGGCCTCCCAGGACTTCGGCTCTGCTCTCCCATCACCAGGCTCTTGGAGCGGGCTGGAAGCCAAGAGTACACACGTTGAGCATGGAGCCTGGCATGCCAGTGACCAGCCCTGACCCCATCCTGGAACCAAGGCCTTAGAGCCTAGGCTGACAGGACTGCCTTCGAGGGTCCCCAAGGCATCAGCTGTAGCATCTCAGTAGTAGCAGCCCAAGCCTCTTGAGCTGCTCACCAGATTAGCTTCTGCTCTAGCATCCCAGATGCTCCATTCTCCCAGGCATATTCATCCATACAGATTTCCAACCACTGACTCGTGCACTTATTCTTTGTTGTTGTTGGTTGATTTTTGTGCTGGTCCTGAGGCTTGAACTCAGGGCTCAGGCACTGTCCCTCAGCTTTTGTGGTCAAGGTTAACACTCTACTTCTTGAGCTACAGCTCCACTTCAGGCTTTTTGTTTGTTAACTGGAGATAAAGAGTTTCACGGACATTCCTGACCTGGCTGGCTTTGAACTGTGATCCTCAGATCTCAGCCTCCTAAGTGGCTAGATGGGAGTCACCAGCACCTGGCCCTTTCACTAAAAAAATTTTTTTTGTTAGTATACATTAAGAGCCTATGATGTGTATTCCAGCTACTGAAGATAAAATGATGGAATAAAAAAAAAAGCCACTGGTACCAGGTGCCAGTGGCTCACATCTGTAATCCTTAGCTACTCAGGAGGCTGAGATCTGAGGATCTCGATTCAAAGCCAGCAGGAAAGTCTGTGAGACTCTTATCTCCAATTAACCTCCAGACCGAAAGTGGCACTGTGGCTCAAGTGGTAGAGTGCTCGCCTTGAGCTAAAGAGCTTAGGAACAGTGCCTAGGCTCAGAGTTCAAGCCCCATGACCGACAAAAAAAAAAAAAAAAGCCACTGATGGCTCAGGCCTGTAATTCTAGTTACTCAGGAAGTTGAGATCTGAGGATCATGGTTCAAAGCCAGCCCAGCAGGAAAATCCATGGGATCCTTATCTCCAATTAACCATACTCACACACACAAAAGAAGCTGTAAGTGAAGTTATGATTCAAGTGGTAGAGCACCAACCTTAAGTGAAAAATGCTTAAGGACAGTTCAACTCCCAGTATTGGCACAATAAATACATAGATGGATAGGTAGATAGAGAGACAAACAGGCATACAGGCAGGCAGACAGACAGGCAAACAGATAAGCAGATAGAATCTGGCCACTTCTGGAGCTCATAGTCTAGCAGTGTTTCTGTTCCTCAGGCCCAGAGGGTCTGCCTCCATCCAAATCCTTCTTCTAGTTCCTTCCTCTGAAGGTTTTAACTCTAAGCACCAGTGCCCAGACCACCCCTCCACCAAGCCCACTCTGCTGCTTTCCTGGGAGCATCCTGGGCCAGCTGGTTCAGCAATTGGTGGTGATGTGATGGGGCTCCTTGGCAGGGCTCCTCTCTCTGAGCCTTCTGAGTTGCCTCCAGCCCTGCTGGTCCCTCTTCCCTCCCTTGACAGCACTGCCCAGTACTCAGCAGGGAGAGAGCACGGCCCTTCACAGCCAAGACTGAGTTCTGCCTCCCTCCAACCCCACCCTCCTCTACTTGCTCCCATTTCTCTCTCTTCTGTCTCTCAGGAAGTTTCTTTTTTGTTGTTGTTGTTGGTCATGGGGCTTGAATTCTGGGCCTGGGCGCTGTCCCTCAGCTCTTCAGCTCAAGGCTAGCACTCTACCACTTGAGCCACAGCGCCACTTCTGGCTTTTTCTGCTTATGTGGTCCTGAGGAATGGAACCCAGGGCCTCATGCATGTGAGGCAAGCGCTCTACCACTGAGCCACCTTCCCAGCCCCATCAGGAAGTTTCTTTCCTCTCCTTGGCCAGCAGTGGACACCAGGAGGTGTCCTGAACCCAAATGTAACCACACTTGCAGTTCTTAGAGCATACATCCAAGTCTCTAATTGAAACACAGGTCCCTGGGACCTGTGGCTTTGATGCTGTAACTAATTTCTCTTGTGTGTGCCTGCATGCATGCACACGCACCTCCCATTGTACTAGTGACCACAGTTTCCTAAGCCTCGCTTGTCTTCCGCCCACCCTGCCTCACTAGCCTGGACTTTGCTTCCATTCCTCTCCCATTTAATCTGTGACTTTGGCTGCATGGTGAGCTCCTACTCAAGATCTAACTCAAAAGACTACTTTCACCTTGGAACCTTACTCCTGCATCATCCCCAGATGATTGTTCCCTTCCCTACCAGGACACATGGAACTGTGGCTAGCAATCATTTCTTTGCTTACTTATATATTTACTTGTTGCCTGTACTAGGGCTTGAACTTAGGGCCTAAATGCTGTTCCTGACCTCCTTTGGTTCAAAGCTAATGCTCTACCACTTGAACCACAGTGCCATTTCTGGCTTTTTCTTTGATTAATTGGAGATAAGAGTCTCTTGGACTTTCCTGCCCCAGCTGGTAACCAACCACAATCCTCAGATCTCAGCCTCCTGAGTAGCAGCCTGGATTGCAGGTGTGAGTGACTGGAGCCCAGCTGAGCAGTCCTTTACATAGTTGCCTTTCTATACCTCTAGACTAAGGAGTAGGATGGGAGGAAATGGTATCTCATCCAGTTCTATATGAGTGTGGCTGGAAATGGATATGTCACCGTGGTCAAACATCAAAGGACACTTCACATCATCTGAACCTCACATTTAATGTAATGTGACATTCAGCTGTTACCTGAGGACATCCTGTTACCTGAGGGCTGGAATATAATTGTGTGTGTGTGTGTGTGTGTGTGTGTGTGTGTGCATATGCACACATGCGTGGGCGCTCACGTGCATGTGTGCGCGCTGCTTCTGGGGCTGGAACTCAGGGCCTGGGTGTTGTCCTGAGATTATTTTTGCTCAAGACTAGCACTCTACCACTTGAGGTATGAGCTATTGGTACCTGGCTATGGTCTCCATACCGATGGACATAGAATCAGCACACTCTCCCCTCAATCCTAATGACCTTCTACTCTCCTACCTGCAGACCCATGTACTTGCCATGATACCTAAAGACCTTTCATTACTAAGCATTTCTATTCTTCCAGTGTTAGCTATACAATGAAGAAAACAATGGAGCCTAGTTGAAGAACTTCAAGCTTTGGACATAGGTTTGGGTTCGAATCACTACCAGTTGTGTGCCTCTGTTTGTAGAATGACAAACGGCCCAAGAAGATGACAAGTATACTCCCCCTGGCAGATCAGGGGGAGAAAGGAAGAGATAAAGGGGGAGAAGGAAGGCAGCCACGCCCAGCAGAATGCTTGGGGGTGGGGAGTGCCTCAGATCCTGGTTACCATGGTGATAATGGTTATGCAAATAAAGGGGTGGACACCTCCAGGCCAAATTCAGGCAGCACTTAGTGTGCTCAGAGGTGGATCTTCCAATGGCTATTTGCTGATTGGGTGACTTTACACATTCCCTTCAAAAAACAGATGCAGCTGTATTCTATCATACCATCATACTTGTGCAAGGTTGCCTCCCTAACCAACATTGAATAAATAATATACCTGGAGAGTTCCCACTTCATAACTGAGTAGGAAAACAACAGACACTGGCTCAGCTCGCCTTGTTTCTGGATTGCTCAGCAGGTGAGTTAATGGGGCTCTTTCACCAGTATGAAACATCTGCTCACTGTCTTTGCCCTTCTAGTGGATCCTTCCCTGGGAGGAGCAGCTGGCGTCCTAAAGGTCCACAGCAGACTCAGCCACTTCCTCTCCCTGCAGGAGCCTTACCTTTCCCTGGGAGAGAGCTGCTAGGCTCCCAGCAACCTGGTCCAGCATCCCTGCCTTGCTTACTCAGCCACATTGCCAGAAGAAATGTCTGTCTGAGGCTGAGCCAGAATGCTGATGAAGCAGGTAGAGCACTGTCTGATGGGACCCCAGGACAGCAGGCTGCAAGAAGGGCCCTTCTGTTCCCAGAGCTTCCCCCTCACCTGACCTTACGACTCTTCTCCTTTCTCCAGCTGGCCAGGGTCAAGAGCAGGGCTAGAATGGATAGATACTAGCTATGTCAGACTCAAGGACTATGGACAAGATGTCCATAATAAGAGAGTAAACATATACAACCACCAGTCTGCTACAGTCTGACAGAGGCCCAAAGGAGAGAGAGAAGATAGGGTATCCCTTTGGTGACTGAGTTTTGTTCTCTGGACCTCCATTTGCTTATCTCTAAGATTCCTTCAATGGGTTAAGAATCAGCAGTAAAGGCCTAGCACTGGTGGCTCATGCCTGTAATAATCCTGCCTACTCAGGAGGCTGAGATCTGAGAACCTGGGTTTGAAGCCAGCCCTGGCAGGAAAGCCCATGAGACTCTTATATCCAATTAACCACCAAAAAGCTGAAAGTAGACCCATGGCTCAAATGGTAGAGCATTAGTCTTGAGTAAAAAAGCTAAGGGTCAGTGTCTAGGTCCTGAGTTTGAGCCCAGTACTAGCATAAACAAACAAAAAAGCAACAACAAAAACAAATAGAATCAATAGTCAAACGAAGTTATCAGTGCGTGGGATTTTGTTTGATGCAATTGCTTGAGATTTCTAACTGGAGCCCAGTTTCCAGGTGCTGCTGGTATGGATAGACAAGCTCAAGACTCCACTGACTATTTTGAACTTTCTCCTCAGAGGATCTGAAAAAAATCACTTAGGATGTCTGTCCCTCCACAGATTTTTGCACAGATTCCCCCCTCCCACGCCCCTGCCGGAGGGGGGGGGGTGTGTTCACGCAGTAGGGACTAAAGTCATGCAATATTTTAAGGCCATGTTCGTAATTCTATGTTACAACAGAGCCTGGAGCTGGCTCATTCTACTATGAATGCACTTGCTTTCCCTTTCCTATCCAACAGCATCCTGGGTAAGGCAGCTCACAGCAGGAGCTCAATAAAATCTCATGGGCCCATAAGTGTGGTTGGACTCTGCTGCAAACCACTAAACAGGGTCTGTGGAGGTGTCCTATGTCCACCCCAGGAAGGCTCTGGGGGAAAGCTGGACAATGAGTGACTGTGTGGGTGACTGGGTGGACTAGTCCATAGTTCCCATA